AGCAGGACGAACAGGCTTATGAGTCCAGGGCTAAGTCCACCCAACTCCTTCCTGCTCCTGGGGACAGAGGTCAGACGTGGGTTGGGACATCGTGCAAAGTGCTTGAGTGCCAGGTGCCCAAGGACCCTGGTGAAGGGCCAGCCAGAGCCTCCGTTCTCACTGACTATTGGCCTCCAGCTTGTAGGAGAGCTCGAAAAGGAGGTTCTGGTTGTCGATGACCTGGAACTGGCGCACGTAGGCCTTGGTCTGCAGGTGATGCGGGGAGGCCTCCATATCAAGGCCTGGGGGTGTGAAGACAGGGAGGCAGTCAGGGTGCTGGCCACCCTTCTTCCCCTACACACATACCAGCCAGAGGAGAAGGGTGTGGATTGGGACAGATGTTGGGCAGGAGGGCCCCCCGGGCAGGCCAAGGAGAGAATGGAGAAATGACACATTTAAGGAAATAAACATTTAAGTGGGGACTTCTCCCAGGAACCCCCCTGGCTCAGTCAAAGCTCTACCTGCAACGCTCTCAAAACGCCGTGGGTTACTCACAAAGGGGCCGGCTCCGGTATTCGCGGACGGTCCTCACTTTTTCGGCCACTGAATGCTGGGAGATGACAAGGAATGAGCCCTGAAAAGGGCACAGAAAGATGCTCCCCCTTCTAATGCTCTCCCTCCTCCAATCTCCAAGTCTCTTGGTTTAACTCCCTCCAGTCCCCAGCTCTGGAGGGTCTCTAATGGACCAAAGAAGGGGTACAATAGGGCGCCAGGTGAGGGGGAGGCAGAGTTGCCCCCCAACCCTGAGCTGCCTGTCAGTTTTGCCACCCGTGGGCAAGTTGTCACAGTGACACCCCCAGGGAGACAGGAGTCTGTCAGGCAAGCTGGGTGCCATGAGGAAGGCTGGCACCTTTAGGGGGGATGCCAGGAGAGGATGAGGATGCCAGCCCTCCCCCACTCAATGGGACTGAGGTTGGCAGTGCCACTCACCAGCTTCTCAATGTTCACCAAACCATCTACAAGGGTCTTACTCCCCTCGTGCAGGAAAGTCAGGTCTAGGGATGGGGAGAGAAGCAAATGGATAAGAGAGGAGGTCCAAAGGGCCCTTCCCCTCCCCCCGACCGCACTCAATCTGGGGGGCGCTCCTCTCTAGGTGGGTTCAGAGAGAGCTGAACACACAGAGCTGAGTTCAGAGGGGACGGAGGGTCAGAATGGGGCATGGAGAGTGTGGAGAGAAGAACGTAGCATGGAAGTGACTCTCACCTTTGAGGATCAGAGGCACGAAAGGAATCACAGGCGGTTTCATCTTGGAGATCACTTCTCGGTAGCTTTTGTGGTTCCTGCAGGGGTCCTAGCATTCCACAGAAGAGAGATAAAGGGACAGACAGGCCCAGTGTACCCCAAAGTCATCCCCCACTCCCTCCCTCAGCCCCTGCCCTAGAAATATCTCCAATCAGATAGGGGTGTGTTTGGGTGTCTTGCTTGGGGCTCAACTGCTCTCCCCTCTCCTCCAGGGATAACAAAGCAGCGATCCTCCCATCTTCCCTCCCAGCGTGGTGGGCAAGGGCGGGCAGGGGTGGGGAGACCCAGGCACTAAAAACCTTGAAACGGAAGCTTGAGGTAAAAGGTTTATGGGCACAGAAATTCTCTGGGGTGCCAGTCCAGGGGCAGGTAATAGAGGCAAAAACCCACTCACTGTCAGGTTCTCAAATTTGCGGAACAAATTCTTGAATTTCCCCGGCAGCTTCTGCAGTTTGAAGGAAGAAGAGATGTCAGAGTCTGGAGCTCCTTGGGTTTCACGGGATCTCCTGACTAATCCCCAGGTGTTAGGGGGGAAAGGGCCTGAGTGTCTCCCGGGGGGCTGCAAGTAGAACCGGCCCTGGGCTAGGTCTGGGGAGCTTGAAGCGGCCCAGAGAAATGAGTTATTCTGGGGAAATGGAGGCCTCTGCAGATGCAGTGCCACGTACAAGGCCTCACTGGGGGGCTTCCTTGGTGGTGCAGTGCTTGAGAGTCCGCCTGCCAATGCAGGAGATACTGGTTCGTGCCCCGGTCCGGGAAGATCCCACATGCCGCGGAGCGGCTGGGCCCATGAGCCATGGCCGCTGAGCCTGCGCGTCCGGAGCCTGTGCTCCGCAACGGGAGAGGCCGCAACAGTGAGAGGTCCGCGT